ATATTATACATATCTTTAATATTAATTTTTCAGCTTATCCATTACCAGTACTGTCATTATGGCCTAAGTTATATAATTATTATAGTTATACAGTATTATTATTTATATACTGTACTATGTTTAAATATAATATTTTAAAATATATACTGTTTATTGTAGATTTCTTTTATTATATAATGAAGTTTTAATTTAATTACTGGTAGTCTTTAATTTAACATGGAGGTTTATGCAGGGGTGTCACAGCTAGGCTAGCCCAAGTTAACACATGGTTCACCCATCAGAGAGTTGTGATAGATCTGGTGGGGAAAATATTAATTAGAATCATTTATTAAAGCCACAGACAGTGAGCCACTTTCAGGCATCTAGACGTGGCAAACACTTTTTTTCTCCTCAGCCTTAGCCATGGTGGGCAGATACTGGACTGGCCCATCAGCTGTTGAGGAATGGTGGACTGTCCGTGAAATGCTAACACCACTACTGCATCTTGAAAAATCACGCCATGGCTGCATTCAATGTGCAAAGAGATACTCGGACCTGTTGGAAAATGGAGCCATCCTCAGCAGTCATTTGAATGCGTTCTCTCACTTCAACCTGTGGACTACCACCTCGCAGATGGGCATCGATAGAGTCAGAGAGATTGTGATGGATAAGCCAGCGATCTCGCTCTCGTAGTTCAATAAGTACATCAAATGAAGGGTCACGCTGGCGCTCAAGCATCGTTTTAGTCGTCGACTTACGTGAGATAACCTCCTCTTTGCTTAGAATTACACTATGAGCACTGCCAGCGATCGGACGCAAGGATGGATTGCGGTGAATATCCTCACAGGTTTGACCATGTGCAGTTGCGATTAGTTGTACACCACGTTCGGCAATACTTTGCGCTGCTTGCGCTTCTTGGATTGTGCCAATTTCATCGATGATAATCACTTCTGGATTATGATTCTGTACAGCTTCTATCATAAATTTGTATTGTTCACTTCTAGGATGTACCTAAAATAATAACAATCAACAGAAATAGAGATAAAAACAGCAAGATCAATAACAATTTCGTTAAAGTACAGAAATCAGTAACAATAATTACAAATAAATAAACAGTAATGCTGGTTAATAGTGCCAAGCCTTTACATTACATCATTATCATCATTATGAATTTGATGAATGCTTTGACAGAAACACAATTTAAATAAATAAATTTAGTAAAATATATTAAACAAATCAACATGTTTATTGTATATAGAAACAGACTATCATCAAAAGTTAAACCATATTTTCAAAGTTTCTGTTTTTCATATGTTGAGAGAGCTATGAAAGGTTTGTTAATAGAAGTGGTTGGCACATTGGTTGTGGCTTGGACTCCAACCTTAAGGTAGGGGGTTTGAAACGCTCGCTGTGCAAGTCGCTTGTGTCCTTGGCCAAGGCACTTTATCTATGGTGGTTGTCTCTCGCCACCCAGGAGTACAAGTGGGTACCTGATAGGTTCAAACACAACCATACGCTGATTACAGCTGCAACATTATGGGGCATGAGTGTTGTTCTATGTGCTTGATCCAGTGACCGGGTGTAATAATGTAAAGCGCATAGACGTTAGTCTACAATATGTGCTATATAAGTTGACAATTATTATTATTATTATTATTATTATTATTATTATTATTATTATTATTATTATTATTACTATTATTATTATTATTATCAATAATTAATAGAGGTTTCCCTCCAATTAAAGACCACTTTTGGGACTGGGTTTTCATGGTCTTTAGCAGCTTTCATCTCTAATTAGAATAATAAATATAAAAGACACTTGTTATTTGGGACCACAGATAAGTGGTTCTTATTTGGAGGTGTCTTAAATGGAGAAGTGTTTAATTGGAAGGAGACATATTATGGGAGTGCAGGAAAGTGTAAATAATTTAAATTTAAATATCAAAATATAAAATGACTAAATTTAATACAAAATGTAATTTCAATATTATTAAATATGTCTGAGATTTTATGGAATTACCTGAAGTCGTCTTGCACTTCCTAATGATTCATGAAGGGTGTCTCCATCTCCCCCAATCTATAAAATCAAAGATAAACAAAAAAAATAATTTGACAATGATAATAACTTTGAAATCAAATGTTACCAAAAATACATAATATGTGCAGAAAACTAAACAGTGAATTCCCAGAGACACAGAAATTCTCTCACAGAGGAATAACTCTAAGTTCTTATACTCGTAAAATACCAAAATTCCCTGGAATTCTTAAATTTTTGAATAAAATGGTAGTTAGGTAGACCATATTATTCCCACAAAATTATTTGTAATTCTACTACCTCTTAATAAATAAAATATAAAAATTTATTTAAAAAAAATTCAAATCTTCAAATAATAAACACAATGCTATATAATACAGTATAGTTGAAATACAGTGTATCACTGGAGTAATGTTTTGCCCTACCTGACATGTTAACGTACTGAATACTCAATACGTTCCCAAATACTTGAGAAAAAAACGCTAGATGGGGATCGTATTCAACACTAGCCACTAAGCACAAGCTCAGTGGTCTAGTGGTTATGACACCAGGCTAGTAATCTGGGAGTTGTGGGTTCAATTCATACACAAATCACTTGCGAATTTTTTTCACAAGTTTTTAGGAACGTACTGATAAACACATCACAGAAACAAACACAGGTAGGAAAAAACATCACTCATATGATATATTCCTGAGGCAGGCACACCTCGAAACAGTATATCATTCCAAATTAATGATTATTTATGTTGTTAATCTGTAAATTAATGTTTTTTATTTCCCGTTTTGACATTTTTTGTATGTATTTATATTAACCTTTGAGTTATTGTTTTGATGTTTCTTTTTATTCATAGTTTTTTGTATAATTCAACTAATGTTTTCCATTTTAGTTGCAATAAAAGGAGTGATTGATTGATTGATTGATTAATTGATTGATTGAAGAATGCCATAAACTACACCTCAGACCTGGGAAATATAAACTATTAAATATATCATATTTAAGTCTTAATATTTGATTGAGAGAGTAACCCATTGACTTAAAATCAGACAAGAAATGGAGTTTATACATTGCTACATAACTTAAAACTTCAAAGACAACATAAAAGTACTGTACAGTAAATTGTTACACTAACTTCATTTGATGTGTCCACAATCATCACTCTTTGCTCGAGGATGTCACTGAGGACCCGAGCAAATTCCCTCAAGACAGTGGTCTTACCAACACCTGGGACCCCGAGAATGAGTACAGATTTACCACTAGCCACAATATCAAAGATCATATCCAAGCAGCCATAGATGGCACGGCCAACCCGTGCAGTCAGTCCGATTGGTTTCAACTGTCTATTACAGATGTTGCTGAGAAGATAAAATTAAGAGTAGTTGGTTTTTGGTGCAGCAGTTGCGGTTCTGCTAGGTTTGCTCGCTCACAGTGCATTTCGCTTGTGTCCTTGGGCAAGGCACTTTACCTATGGTTGTCTCTCTCCACCCAGGAGTAAAAGTGGGTACCTGGTAGGTTTAAACACAAATATGAATACAACTGCAACATTATGAAATTCTCCCAAGGGATCTGAGTATGTGTTCCATGTGTGCTTGATCCAATAACTGGTGATAATAATGTTAAGCACATAGAAGTCTCTACAATATGCGCTCTATAAGTTGACCATTATGTTAGTTATAGTGGGCGGAGTCACCTATCCATGAAGTTTTCCATCCAGTCTAAAGCTAATTTCAAGGTCCTCTACTCACATTCATTACCCCTTGCCCATCCTGAAATTCCACTCTTATTATTTAGAGTTAAACAATGTTATCCCTCACACACCTTTAAAATTTCTGCCACTAACCATTTACTTTTATACAGCTACAATCCTTAGGGGCAGAACCAGCACTACGAAAACAGGCACCACAAGATGGGAGGTTGATTTAAAGAGAAAATTGAGAATTTTGACATTCGACCACTGAAGGTCATGCCTCCATTTTTTCTCTATCTGAAACTCTGCATTAAGACAGATTACTACATGGATTCCAATAACATTAACAAAAATAATAACAATAAAAAAATAATGATAACAAAAATAACAAAATCAATAATAAAAGCAATAATTTACAACAAATTAATATAATAATAATACTGTAATTATAATAATCAAAATAAATAACATTATTATTATTATTCATCATTGTTATCATAAAATAAATAAATAAATAAATACAGGAACTTGTATAACATGTTTCAAAATATTTCAAGTTTTTTTTTACTTTCTTACAATCATAAGCCCTCTACAGTTTAATACAAGCTTAGGTATTCATAATGCACCAGATTAGGTATTAAAGATAAGATATAAAGTAATGAATTTGTATATTATTAGCCAAAATGTAAATTACACCTACTAAACACTGAAAAATATTCAGTTCAACACTAATGATTGGGTATAGTTACCTGACACGATGAAGTGTGCCCTCTATACCTGCACGCCGATCTGATGTGAACTCAGTAAAATTATTGCCAGAAAATATTTCTTCAACTTGCTGAGAACTGAGAGCAGTGTCCATTAAATCTTTGACTATACATTTTCCTGTGCCAGGCTGGTAATATCTACATGAATCAAAAATATAATTAAAATCTCAATCACTAACAGCAACAAAAATAATAAAATTAATAATAACATAATAACAATAAATAAAAACAATAAACAATTAATAATAATAATAATAATATAAATTTTCCTGTGCCAGCCTGGTAATATCTACATGAATCAAAAATATAATTAAAATCTCAATCACTAACAGCAACAAAAATAATAAAATTAATAATAACATAATAACAATAAATAAAAACGATAAACAATTAATGAAAATAATAATAATAATATAAATTTTCCTGTAAATAAAAAGAATAAACAATAAGCAGCGGCGGCGGCAGCAGCAGCAATAATAATAATTTCACTAAATTGGACTTAAGGGGAATATCTTTTGTGATTTTCCACATAACGTCGTTTTTTTAATTGTTCTCTAATTCTTCCATTGTCTAAGTTATTTTTAAGCCAGGTTTTAGTAACATAATAATAATACTAATAATAATACCTGTAATAACAATAATAATAATAATAATAATAATAATAAAAATAACAATAATGATTCAATAATATTAATAATCTTGTTTTTTATCGAATTGTTAATAATAATTTTAAAATAATGCTGAATTAATTGTAACTTTAAGATAATCATATTTTTGTAAGGTTTTGTAAATTAATCTTATTGTATTTTTATATCTGTTAATAATATCAATTACCTATTGTATTGTTATTTAATTATTTGTAAATATTATAATGATCATTCTGTTTTCGTAAGACTTTTTTATATCAGGTGGTTTTAGTGAAGCACCTTAGTCATTTTGGAAAGGCGCTATATAAATCATATTTTTATTAGGATTCAGATAAAGACATTAACAAAAAATATCTATAAAACACAGCTTTAGAGATGCAAAGATTCAATATAGGGAACAATTGCAGTGGTTGTTAATTTCTACATGACCTACCTTGCATGTGGCTTTCGTCCAATATCCAAGACAACTTCAACAAGAAATTCTAGTGGATACAGGTCCTGCTGATGAAAACTCTGTAGAGCCTCCTGAATTTCCTCTGGAAAAACTTCTAAGAATCGTTGCATATCTCTTTTGTTCTTCTCATCAACACTGTCAATCATTTCCTGAGTAATGCTTGTTGGATTAACAGACTGATATGTCTACAAAAATAAGAAGTAAACAAGGTTTTGTTTCAATCAATCAATCAATCAATCAATCAAACAACAAGGATTTTCATGGCACCACATACTGATCCAACTTGTTGTGGACAGACGAAAGTGCGCCTCCTGGCAGCTGATGCGACATCCTGGGCGCATTTCAGTTTAGTTAAAGCTGCAAGTCACATGTTATTTCCTACCTTTACCTAACCCTACCAATATACACTGCAGAATGCAATGAGTGGCACTATGACAATGGTATATAGTCAAAGTGCACATAACCTACTGATGTTAATTAATATTAATATACTACCCTATATGTGGCAGAGCCAAGCCAAAGGAGGGATAAGTCGCACAGGCAGTTTTCCAATAAATGCACAAACGTGAAATTGGTCATTTTTTTAGTTTTTTTTTTTATCTTGAAAACATACATATTAAACTTTTAACTTTCATCCTACGTTTACTTTTCTCTGATTTATAATCGATAAATGCTCTAAAAATGGTATTTAAGAGTGCTTGTCCTAGCATACAGACATAAATCTGATTTTCAAAGCCAGTTTTCTCAAAATACACTTACCAAGTATCCTAACTTTGATTGCCCATAACTTCGCCATAAACTATCATATCAAAGTGATTTTTTTTTGCATTTTGAAGATAATAATGTCTAGTTTCATAATATCATATGTACAAAACTCAATTTTGAAAATTTCGATTTATCCCTCCTTTGGCTAGGCTCTGCCACATATGAACATGAGATGGTACAGTAGGTTATATGAAGATTACAATTTTTAAGCATAACATTATTGCTTTAATCTGTGAAAATAGATATCATTTATGAATAATTATAATAATAATAATAATATTTGTTTAATTTTCTATTCAGAATACTAACGATGATGATGAAAACAATGATGATAATTGGGTAGGAGGTGGTGATGATGATGATGATGATGATGATAATACATGAAATTCTAGCAAGCACATACAAAGAAAATCACAATTATGAATTTAACTGCACAATATGTAATATGAAAAAAAAAAATTAATGGTAGGTAAGCATACAGAAACTTCATGTAGAAGCTGCCATCACAATTGGAAAATATATTTAAGTTATGGAGCCCTCTGGATTAAAATCATGACAGTATTAAACCAATAACCATCAATAATGAATAAGGAGTGAAGGGGTAATAGCAAATGTCTTACCGCACTATGTAAAGGTATGAAATATGCATTGATGTTTTCATCAAACTGAAGCAATCTGGTATTTGTCACTGACTGTGGCATTGGAGAGACTTTGGCACGTTTGCTAAGTGGAATCGGTTGTGACATTTGTCGGCTAGGGCATTGCTTGAATTGAGGTGGCTCCAGTTGAATTTTTGAAAACCTAGCAGCTACATTCACAACATGCCCTGGGGCAATTACAGAAGCACCTGTATCTGTATTTGCATGTAGCTCATTTGCATATCCATTAGTCAGGGCCTCAGCAAGTACACCAGATATTGGAGCAATGGTAAGTTGTTTCGTTTCACACAGATCGCTACCATCATTTGTGGGCTTGTTTTTGAGAGCGTCAAGGCAAGCTTGGCTAAAACGAGGTAATTTTTCTGATCCAAGAAGTCTGAAAGGAGAAAGCAAAAACTTCATTGGGTACTCTTAACATCCAAAATACAACAAAGCACACATCAAATAAACATTAGAATTTAAGAGATGATATAAAAAAATAGTTTATTTGTTTAATAACATAAAGGAATGCTGGGCACTTAAACCAAAGTGCTTGATTACTAATACAGTATTGAGGACAGTCTGATGGGTTAAAATATAAAAATAAAATAAATAATAAAAAAAAACTATTCATTTATTTTTTTATCTCCATTATTAATATTCAGTTTATGATGATGATATGAGAAAATGTGCCAAAATAATATTGTTTTTAGCAGAATCTCACTAATTGTTTTCTTTATATATTTGCCTTAAATCAGGGGATGCATCAGCAACATTGGCCATAACAACACAAGTGGTGCAAACAGCCCCAGATATGGACAATGCATTACAATTAAAAAATGTGTAAATAAAACAGAATATTGACTTCATTTGAGCTCTTCTGTCATTAATATTGAATGAAAATATTTAAAATACTTTAATATTTGTACATTTAATGTATCGGCAGGAATCAGGATCTGATCAAAATTAATGGGTGCTGGACTTTCAAAAAGTAAAAACGTAACTATCACTATGCACTTACTGAAGCATTGTGCTATAAATGGATGGTACCAATGCAGTAACATTGTATGTTAAGTAATGAATGACCTCTGCAGTTAAAGGATGGCCTTGCCAAAGTTTCTTAACATTTGGCTTTTCAATAAGGGTCACATTCATATATTGGCAAAGCTCATTAAAACTTATCGATTGAGGGTGGTTGACTTGCTTGTCGTTGATGATCTGGTAACAAATCTGTTGAAAAATTAAATATTCAGTAGCAGATCAATCAATCAATCATCAGTACTTCTATAGTAAAATTCATCAGGGATTGGGTGAGAAGCTGGTAGTGGTGTTTGTGGAGGGAATATGTTATGTATAATAATAGGTTTTGAAGATTTAATGCAAAATGTACTCTGTTTTCACTATTTTCCTATTGCCGTTCTCTTATATATACAACAATCACCTATCAAAGTATTACAAAGTCAGTTTCTTGGTTTTTCTTTATATATAAAAAAACGGAAATTTGTGCTCAGGGATTATACAAAAGCACACATTTTAACAATGATGAAAGAGAGAAAAAAAGAATCGCAAATGAAAACAAAACACTATGACATTTTAAAAACCTGAAATTTCAAAAACAAACTTTTGTTTTGAGTTTTGCAATATCTCATATGAACCTCAAACATCTATCTTTCCATTTGAAGTTGAAAGCCATTTTTAGAGTTATAAAAGTTTCATTTACTAGTTTAAAAAATCATTTAAGTCAAAAAAAATGTATTACCTTAGTGTCAAAGACATACTTAATTTGTATTTCAAACTGCTCCAGTAGTCCTTGAGATAGCGTCTGACTATCATGACAAACCTGAAGATTAAAAACATGTTGTTCAGAACTACAATTTCTGGTATTGGGGGTCATGGCAGACGTGTTCTAGTCGCAGCCCTGAATAATGCTAATTCTACCACCACCACCACACACCAGATCAAGTCAATGTTTTTTTTCCCCCTCACATCCAACAGCAAGTACACTCGCCACTTGATAAGAATGATGCTTCATAAACTAAGCCCCTTTATGAGGCTTAGCGAGTGGAGTTGTTTTTTTAGCCGTGAGAAAAATTCCAGTGCTGTGACAGGAATTGAACCCAGCAACATTAATTCACAATGCAAGCATCTTAACCACTGAGAAACCACTCCACTCCCACATATTGTATTACCATTTTCATCATGCCATCTGTTGGACTTGGTAGAGCCTACAATGATTGTGCTAGAAACTGTGTCAGTAGCTGTGGTTCTATGAATGCAATGCCACGTGCGCAATGGATCATTTTTATTAATGATCCGATGAGACTGCTACCGACAATCAGCAGATGGTATCACATCAGCGCTCACAGGGAGTGGAGTTCAATTTAGGGGCCATTGGTAATCATGACCGCGGTACAACAAAGAGAATGCCCGGCTTAAGTCAGTTGTGTGGGGTTTACATTTGTTCATGTAGGGATGTTGCAGCGTTGACATATACATTACTAGGGTGCATGTAATTGGGTGTGTTTAAAGGTGTGTGTGTGTTTACCTTAAGAATGTCTTTATCTTCAAGTAGACTCTTCAAACTCTCCTTCTCATTAACATGCAGATGGCTATTGCTTCCTTTTGGGGAGAACTCAATGATGAACACTTCTCCGTCCCATGATGCAATAGACAGTACCGTGATCACAAACTTTTTCATTTTGCTGAAGCCCTCTACATGCAAAGCAATAATTGGCTGTTCATACGTGCGTTTGTTCATCATTAGAAAAGTTGCAACTACATTAGATGTGGAACTGTCAACTACTTGGACACAATCAGGTGAAGGCATGACACGTTCAGTGAGAGCCATCTGCTCATCAGCCAGCAGATGCTGTTGTGCTTCCATCACAACTGGTTGTTGTTTTCTATGGTCTTCAACCTGATTTTTCTTCGTATCTGGTATGACATCTATGCTTGGTTTGGCACCTATAGGTACCAATGAGACTTTTTTGTTTTTGCTAATATGGAAATCTTTAAGATTCTTCAATGAAACATGAAATGTTTCAAGATTTGTACCCAGTCGAAATTTTCCTTTGTTTTGTATTTGCGTGTATCTGTTAAATAGTTCTTCTATGTCTACAGAATTACTTGGACTTGAAAGAATAGCGCTTTTTATTACACTTATAGCATGTTTTTTATAAACATGTTCACTTTCTTCTTGTCCCTTCTGCAGATACATTTGAATATCTGTATCATGTTTGTCTGCAAACAGCTGGTCATTCTCAGAAAGTACCATCTGATGTTTACCGACAGCCACCAGTTCATCCTGAGCTTGCAAATTTTGTTGGTCCTGCATCACAACCAGTTTTTCTTTATCCCCTGCAACCACTTTCTTGGTTGTTGATGTAACTACAGCATTGGGATTATCAGCACCGACCACTGAGACATTGTCCGCGTTGCTAATTTTGAATATTTGAATATTCTTCATGGAAATGCGAAATGTTTCATAGTTTGTACCCAGTCCAAATTTCTTTTCGTCTTTTATTTGCATGTATCGGTCGTAAAGTTCTGTTAGTTTGAGGGACTTTTTTGGACTTGAAAGAATAATTGCTTTTAACTCACTTAAATTCTGTTTTTTATAACCATCTTCTCTTTCTTCTTGTTGTTTCAAGTCCTGTCTCTTCTGCACAAATGTTTCTATATCTGTATCAATGTTCACATCCTTTGGAACTAGCTGGCAACTGTCAGGAAGTATCATCTGATGTTTACCAAGAGCAACTTGTTTATCTTCAGCTTGCAAATTTTGTTGTACCTGCATCACAACCGGTTTCTTGTTATCCTCTGTAACCATTTTCTTAGTTTTTGTGCTGGGATTATCGGCACCGACCACCGAGATATTGTTCTCATTGCTAATTTTGAATTCTTTATGGTTCTTCATGGAAATGCGAAAAGTCTCATAGTTTGTACCCAGTACCCGGTTTTTTTTGTTTTGCACATATCGGCCGTAAAGTTCTGTTAGTTTTAAGGACTTCTTTGGAGTTGAAAGAATAATGGCTTTCATCTCACTTGTAATCTGTGCCTGTCTCTTCTGTAGAAAAGTTTGTGTATCTGTATCAATGTTCACATCGTTTTTAACCAGCATTCCTAATGTTATTTGTTTACCTTTTATGGTGAAATATTGGGGGAACAGAGCAATGCTTTGTTGAAGTTCTTTTTCATTATAGCCAAACATCTCAAGCACTTCATGTCCTAAGATACAGGTATAATTGCGAAATCTACTATACAGTTGAACAATTGTGTTTTGCCCGGTTTCCACAAGAATGTTTTGCAAGATTGCAATGGTCTTGTTTCTTAGTTTTAAGTCTATAGATGCTTCTGCCATTTTGTCACCTTCTTACTTGGAACAATTGTAGCCAACTCTGAAAAAAGATTGATGATTTGTAGTAAAAAAAATGAAATCGATTTGAATAATTTGCTAGCATATAGAAATAGAATATAATAGGCCTGTCTACATTCCCAACCTTAGGTGGACTTGGCTATATAAGTATTATACCCCATCTATCAATATAATGAGGCCTAGCTATTAGGCCCAATAAAAAAAATTATTAGTTTATCACCCCCTCCCTCGTCAATTTTGGGGAAATTCTGATTTTTTTTTTTTTTTTTTTCAAGCAACATATATATTTTTATTTCGAACGGTCGTTTTTCAATCTTTTTTGACTTGGAAAGCTCAAGATTTCTTGCAAATATGTTTACTGGCTGGTAACAAAAATATATTTTTTTAAATATAAATTTAATTCCATTCTTTTGATTTTGGGGAAATTCTGATTTTTTTTTTTTTTTTTTCAAGCAACATATATATTTTTATTTCGAACGGTCATTTTTCAATCTTTTTTGACTTGGAAAGCTCAAGATTTCTTGCAAATATGTTTACTGGCTGGTAACAAAAATATATTTTTTTAAATATAAATTTAATTCCATTCTTTTGACTTTTTATGTGTCCCTAACCATTGATTTACTTGAGTAAAATGGGGGCGGAATTAGTCAAAAAAAAAAAAAAAACACCTCCCTCCCTTATCAGTTTTTATTCTTTGATAAGGTGATAAACTAATCATTTTTTTATGGGGCCTAGCTAGGGCCTTAGTAAGGGTCTATAGACAATAGAATACAAAAAAGATAGCTTGGCCTAGCCTATATCTGGGCCCCTAGACAGACTAGATAGACTTATTATGCCTTCTTCTTTATCCCAGTAGTAGAATAGACACACTCTCTCAATCAACTAAAAAGGCCTAGGCTAGGCCATAAGTACTACTAGGGGGTGCAGGTCAACTCGGCCACAAGTCAACTCGGCCACAGTCAACTCGGCCACAAGTCAACTCGGCCACAAGTCAACTCGGCCACAAGTCAACTCGGCCACAAATCAACTCGGCCACAAAAATTTCGGCTTCTGCCAACTCGGCCACAAGTCAACTCGGCCACAAATCAACTCGGCCACAAGTCAACTCGGTCACAAGTTATTTAATGTAAATCTAAGTTTTTGCATCCTTTTTCTTCAATATATGATTGAAATAAAGTACACAGTATGTTTTAGTAAAACAGGACCACCACACTACCAAAAGAGATTTGAATGCTATTGCCTATGAATTAAAAAGAGTTATTTATTAATGTGTTCGTTAAATAAATAAAACGACAATAAATTAGAAATATTTACATACTAATTAGTCATTATGACGATAATAAATGTAATAATAACAACAACAACATTAATAGTAATATTTATTTTAACAAATAGTAATAATACTAGTATGGTAATAATAACGATATTTGAATATCAATTTTAATAACTAATTAGTGATAATAACGATATTGAAGGTGATAATAGCAATAATACAATAATAAATTAAAGATAATGTTTATTTTTATAATAATAGTAATACTAATTAGTAATAATAATAATAATGATACTTATAATACTAGGCCTACTTAGTAATAATAGGGTAATAATATCGATAATAAAGGTGACAACAACAATAATATTAATAATAATATATAATATGAGAAAAATAATAATAAAACGCCAATAATAACAACTTTTTAAATTACTATTATTAAAATTATAATACTAAGACTAATAAATAATAATAATAATAATAATAATATGAATAATAATAATAAAAAATCGAAAATTATTTATTATTTATATGGTACTATAAATATATGTACTATATATATATATGTAATAATATCAGCAAAAATTTGAACAATATATAATGTTAATGCTAAGACTAATAATATTAAAACTAACGGTAATAAAAACAACAATAATAATAACAACAATGACAACAATAATAACAGCAATAATAATAACAATTTACTAGTACAATGTAGTACCAGTAAATGACTTGTGGCCGAGTTGATTTGTGGCCGAGATAACTTGTGGCCGAGTTAACTTGAGGCCGAGTTGACTTGTGGCCGAGTTAACTTGTGGCCGAGTTGACTGTGGCCGAGTTGACTTGTGGCCGAGTTGGATCGAATTCCTACTAGGGCCTAGGCCTGTCTTCTATTAGCCTTGACAGTTATTTATATCCAGTGATGGTCCAGGACGCCTATAACTAGAACTGATTAAAAAACGTCTTATTAGCTAGATTTTATACCCTTGTTTTGTAGTAATAAATTATGCTCTAGGAGGCCTACCTATCTATTGATATCGGAGATACTGTCTTTTAGTATATATTAAAAGTCGTCACAGTCTTAACTCCTTTCCTTTGTTTTATCAGGGAGAACAACTCCCTGGTTTTATCATCAGGCAGGCGCAGCTAAATGACTGATGATCAAATTTGGGAATATTTTCGGGAAAATCCCGAAAAGTTAGGACTAATGACGTCATAACAATAACCATCCAATACACATTTTCCAATGGAACCATGGCAGTGTAACGCCAAAATTGGTCCGAGCCAAAAAAATTTTGGCCGCCAAAGTCGGTCCGCCGGACTACTAAAAATCGGTTGACTTTAGCCGCTGAAGCCGGTCCCGCTTGGAGAAAATTGGTCCGCGTCGGCCTGGCCACTTCACTTGTAACTCTGTTGCTCGTAGGGTATGATTGTTTCTCCTGTGGAGTGGAGGAAAGTAATATATGCTTCATCCCACACTTGCAAAGTCTTTTTGCGGTGACAGAATGATTCGTATTAGCTTTTGACGACGTGTTTTATCAAACCCACATGATGATACTGCATTTCCTAGGCCTGCTAGGCGATCACGGCGATACACGGTATCCGATCATTTCGGTCGCGCCTTCATTTCGGTCGCGCTATTTTCGTTATGCATTTCGGTCGCGGTATATGGCGCACCGACGGGTCGACCGCAAAACTGGAACAGGGAGCTATAAGCAGTATAGTATTTTTTATAAGCAAAAAACTTACATAAAACATTAGTTAACAATTATTTGTATTACTGTACTATAATATTAGGCCTACAGTTTATGATTATTAATATTTGGCCCCTACGTGTATCACTTAATTGGTGTTATTTTTCTTTTTTTACAGAAACAACGAAAATGCTACAAAGTCGACTTGGTTTTGAGACAAGTTTCTCTTTAACGTTTGTTTCGATACATATTTTATTAATGCATAAATTGAATGGAGATTTATGAAATAAATATAGTCAATAAATTAGTTTTTCATACATTTTTTTTCTCTTGTCTGTTACGTTCCCATTTAACTTGAATGTTCTGATCATGTTTATATTTGATATAAACATACTGAATGATAGGCCCTATATGATAAATGAAAATGAAGGAAATATATAGTATTTTCATATTTATTTTCCACATAAAATTTTCAATATATTTATAATTAAACACCGTGCATTTTAATGGCCCATTTCAGGCTTCTTTTATATTCATAAGCCCGACAAAATAACTCATTCTAGTCATATTCTATAGTTCCGCTAGAATTTAATTTCCTACAAACTATATTCCCATGGTACTCTTGAGGTCAAGCAGGGAGCAGCACAAGGTTTATATTTTCTTGTTTGTTTTATTTCCATGTTTTATACATATTCTGATGTTTATAAAATACATAGTAAAATGCAGTTTTAATATATAATTTTAAAAATACGTAATAGCCATTCCACGGTTTCGGTCTTCGGGGCGGGCTTCCTTCTAAAGCTAGAAAAATTCACTACTTCGAGGCCTCCTGTACTAGTTGCCTGGTAACCATAAAATCGGAAAGAAACTTTCCCACAACCAAGGTTCCCACGGTGCTCATGAGGGTAAGAAGGCATATTCTGTGTACGCCGCTTTCAGGAGAATGTGAACGCATTACACTGCAAGACAGAAGTAGGTCAGATGCTAAATATAGATGACTAGCTATTTTTAGCAGGTCATGGCAGTGGAAGTGAAGGTGTACCAGAATACACGAGAAGCACACGCAAAAGACGAGTGACCATTATTTTTCTTTTTACGGTAAACGAATGTGGGTGGCTAGCCACCCTATTTACCCCCACTAGATCCGCCACTGAAACATACGTCCGTACTAACCTTCTACAAATCCTGAATATACAGTAACAAGGGCGGATCCAGAAATGTCCAAAAGGGGGTGCCGGAAGGGGAGGGGGGCCGAAAGTTGGGCCGATTGAGACAACACTGTCGTAGGGGGTCCGGGGCATATGCCCCCGCGAAATGTTTGTGTTCTAGACTCCCGAACATAACATTTGAGGCATTCTGAGCTATCATTTCTTTTCCTCTCTTTTTTTTTTCTTTTTTTTTTCTTTTTTTTACCTCCCAAAAGCGGGGGCCGGGGCCGGGCCGCCCCCCCCTCCAAATCCGCCCCTGAGTAAAGCATAGTAGCTCGAGTCTGTGCACCAATCCTTCTTTAGTTTGCTCGGGACGGAGTAGAGGGTCGAGTGTCCACGATGGCGGGTGGGTCCTGTGTCCTCGACGGTGGGCCTGGGTACCCGATGAGGGCAGTGGATATCAAATACCAATGTGACAAATATATTTTCAACATAAATAGGCCTAATGAATAGAAATAAGGTGTAAGGGTTCTTTTTTTCTCCCTGTTCTGGTGAAGTATGCCTATTCATAAATACTGAACATTATAGGCCTATACAGACAGTGGTGGCGCCAGCAGTATGGCAGGGGTGTTCCCTGCCCCCCCCCCCATCCCTTCGGACAGGCTTGGACCCCCTTCCCTTCGGACGGACCGAGGCTCTAGCCTGGTTCGGACCCCCCGTCAAACATGTCGGACCCCTTGTCGGCAAATTTCTGGAGCCACTGCTGTACAGACAGTATGAAGTTATGATTATAGAAGGCCTTCTTATCAATGGACATACTACAATTTCTTTAATTATATTTTAATTGTTTTTTTAAGGGTTTTTTTTTCGAATTTCAGTATACAGTACACTAATCATAATTTGTATCACGTACATCAACTATTATTATTATCACTATTATGGACATACTACAATTTCTTTAATTATATTTTAATTTATTTTAAGAGTTTTTTTTTCGAATTTCAGTATACAGTACACTTATATCATAATTTGTATCACTTCCAAAATATTATTATTATTATTATTATTATTATTATTATTATTATCATTATCATCATCATCATCATCATCATCATCATCATCATTATTATTATTATTATTATTATTATTATTATTATTATTATTAATTCATACGACGCGTGCGTATATTTAATCATACAATACGACGTCCACACTTAAAATGTCTCTCAGAATAGTGTAGTGCAAAGTGAGGGACGGGACACATGCTTTGTAACGAAATATTGTAACACATTGTATTTTGTTTGTATTCGATTTTGTATTTTTTTTAATTTTTTTTTTTTAATGGCAGTGGCAAAACATTCCCCCGTGCCCCTCCCAAACCACCCCTGGCATCTTGGGCCATTCGACAGATTTTTTTTATTTTTTATTTTTGGTAGCGAAAACTGTGACTGGAGGGTGCAAGGTAATGCCAAAAAAACTATGATCTAATTAGTCTTCTTATTCTCTAACCATGATGATGACGAATTTTACTATATAAGAGTGTATTTCCGGCCATCTAGAGTTACTATTTCTCAGTTTTCGCACCTCAGCCCCAACCATGGTGGGACTCGGGTGGATCGACTCACGGCTTTGAAGTAGGTAAAGTAAAGTATTTACGTCAAAGACAATGTTTTTCAGTTTTATTTTCTATGGTAGCCTACATCACACATATTAATTAGATCTCTGGCGAAAATTGCTGATACCAGATCATGGTAAATAATGGTGATATGATAATGATAAAATAGATAAAAAGCAATCTGATCTTGAGAAATCTATTACGTTTGCCATTGACTCCATATCCGAATCCGATGAAGGAAGTATTCATATTACCGATATTTTATCCATGGCAAACGAGTTTAATAAATATTTTACGAACATTGGCCCTAATTTAGCAAATAAAATTACAAGTACATCTGATTTTTATGATTTCCTAGGTCAACCATGCCTTAACTCATTCTTTTTAGAACCTGTTTTACCTGAGAAAATATACAAATTATTATTATCATTAGACTGTAAGAAAGCAACTGGTGTTGACAATCTTCCTGCACAATTGATTGCCTTTGCGGCGCCGTTTGTTTCATTTCCATTGTGCCATATTTTTAATCTTTCATTTAACTCATCTAAGTTTCCTTCTTTATTTAAAATTGCCTGAGTTATCCCAATTTTTTTAAATGGTTCGAAAGCAAATTTTAGTAATTACAGACCCATCGCGATTCTTCCAATCTTTAGTAAAATTCTTGAAAAACTATTTAACTTGCGGTTTGTTAACTATTTAGAAAAATTTAATTTATTCTACAAGCACCAGTATGGATTTAGAGAAAGATACAGTACACAATTATCACTCATTAACCTAGTAAATAATCTTCAGTATGACATTGATCGAAAAAAAGTCTTCAGTTGGTATTTTCATTGATTTCCGAAAAGCGTTCGATACAATTGATCATAAGATTTTATATTCTAAACTGAGTTATTATGGTATTAGGGGTAAAGCTTTAATTTGGATTTCTAATTATCTAATGAACAGAATGCAATTTGTTTCTTTAAATAATTGTGTATCTGATAAGTTACCTATTGTTTGTAGCGTACCCCAAGGTTCAGTCCTTGGACCCACTTTATTTTTAATCTATATAAACGATTTGCCACATTTTTCAAATTTCTTCGATTTTCGTTTGTTTGCCGATGACACAAATTTATTTCACAGCTTTTCAAATAATGTTCTTGACTTAACTCTCATTAATAATCATTTTTCAGTGTTATAAATTGGTGTAAAGCAAATAAATTGACAATGAATATTAATAAAACAAGTTATATAATTTTTCAATCAAGAAATAAACATATTACAACCATTGGCTCCTTATATTGATAACTTACCTATCCATGAGCGTTCATATATTAATTTCGTTGGTATTAAGTTTGATAAATTTCTTACCTAGAAAGCACATATTCAAAATATTAATGAAAAAATCAGGAAAAAGGCTGGAATTTTGTTTATATTAAGACATTTTGTTCCCATGAAAACACTAGTTATGCTTTATAATTCCTTCATATATCCAAATATGACTTATGGAATTGAGGTATGGGGAAGTACTTTTGTGTCGTACATAATTCCTATTTTGAATTCCCAAAAAATGATTGCTCGATGTATAACTTTTTCAGATTTTAGAGCACACTCACCCCCTCTATTTTACCAACTTAAAATTCTTAATGTATATAAGCTTCATAGGCTTTATGTTCTTAAATTTATTTCCGATTTTTTTTTTATAATCGAACAGCTCATACATTAAGTTGTTATTTTTCTACTGCAGAGCACTTACATAATACAAGATTTGGTAATAACTTTAATTTAGATATACCCACGTCACGTATCACATTAGGAAAATTTAGAATAGGTTATGAAGATGCTATACCTTGGAATCAATTCTCTCTCTCTCTCTCTCTCTCTCTCAATATTCGCCAAATTAACTCAAGAAAACATTTTAACACAGTGCTTAAAAAACATTTACTCGAAGAGTGTATTGTTTAAACTTAAGACTGAGACTCATCATGTTTACGATTATTTGTATTATTGTTGTAATAGTAATGGTGGTGGTAATGATGGTAATAATTTTATAGTGATGATGTTATAGACAACGATATAGATAATAATAATATTATTATCATTATTATTATTATTATTGTTGTTGTTATTGTTATTATTACTATTTA